TCGTCAGGTAGATTTGACTCTTGTTATCGTCAATTTTTTTTTTCTTTTACCTTGAAATGTTTTGTTTTACTTAAAATATGGTAAAAATAAAAACTCGATATCTTAGTACTCGTGACATCGAACGAGTGAGGCCTGTATTAATTGTTTACACTTGAAACTCGTCTCAAGTAAGATACTCGGGCTTGAGTTTACAGTTAGGTGAGGGCTTTCCAGTTGAATCGTAATTGAATCCAGTTGAGTCGCACACGAGACACTCGGATATAAATTTTAAGTTAGATTTGAGTTTTCTATCTTGAATCATATATTATATGTGATATTATATATACATTTGTAATCGCGATTCAACGGAGAAATTCTCTAAGACTTTTATTAACGGTTGTCACTTGAAACTAGTCTCATATGAGATATTGAGATTTTTACTCAGAGTTACATCGAAATTTATCAGTTGAATTATATGATATATAATTGGTGGTGTAATATTTCTGTAATTGTGATTCAAATGGGAAATTCTTATCTCACGCTGAATTAAAATATGAATTTCTCACTTGAGACGAGTTTCAAGTAATAACTATCAATATAGGCTTAAATTAAAATCTAAAGCCCGCATTAATAATCTTTATTTGAAAATTGTCCTGCATGAGATACTCAAGTCTGAATTTAGAGTTAGTTTTGAGTTTTTTACTTGAATCATATACGATATAACATTCGTGATCGCGATTCAGCTCTCTGAAAGATTCATATTTGACTCTAAATTCGGGTCTGAAAGATTCATATTTGACTCTAAATTCGGATCTGAGTATCTCATCTGAGGTAAGTTTCAAGTAACGGCTGTATTAACACGAGTTTCATAATGTCGTATATATCGTACAATATCCATCTTGGAAAACTTGGAGCCAACTCTGAATAAATCCGTGCATCTCACGTGAGACAAGTTTCACGTGACAACTATTAAAACTCCGTGGCACTTCTCAACCTTGTCTGTTAACGTCCATGATCGAATGGACATCGACGGTTTGACACTGTGTACATACCTGTGTGTCTTCCCGCGAGCGCTCTATCGCGCGTTCGCAAAACTCCGCGGGTCTCGTGGGCCGGCCTCGAGAGTTTCTACGATCGTCATTACGCCTCCAAGGCGCTCGCTCGTCGGCCCTGGACCGACGTTCTACCTCTATAGTATCTATCGCGTCTAGTGCAAGAGAGCGAGGAAGAGAGGAAAAGAAAGATAACGCGAGTCAGTTCGGTGGAGAGACAGAGACGGGAAAGATAAGCTATTCTGTCTGCCGAAGGAGCACGCATACAAAACCGCCGGCCAATTATCGCGCACGGACAATGCGCGCCAAGGTTCCCGTCCACGAATCTTAATCGCGTATCGCTCGCATCTCTTTCTCTCCTCTCTTCCTCTCCCTCCCTCTCTCTCTCTCTCTCTCTCTCTCTCTCTCTCAACGACGCTATAGTTTACAAGGTGTCTCCGCGCGATTTCAAGCCGAAGAAGCCCCCGGCGGCGACAGCGGAGTCCGATCGCGGCGCAGCGTCCCGTGATAGTCGCGCGTGTTGTTTCCGAGATACTTTCCCCCGATACCCGACCATCCTTCACGTTATACATTGTACACGAGAGCCGTCTACTTTCTGCCGCACGCATCCAAAGATACGATGATTATCTCCTGGGGTCAAGGGATCGACCGTCCCGAGAATGTAAAATTCAAATATCGAAAGCGAGGTGCAGATTTTCTGGAGACGACGATTGCGAAATACAAATATGTAAGGGTCTCCGGGCTATTACTAAAATCGCTACATTTCGCAATCCGAGGCCTCGACGGATGATAAATTGCGAGTAGACGCGAGAAGGGACGCGATTTCTCTCGGACGATGAAGTTCCATATAAAGAGAGGAACTTCCTCCTTTAATCTGACTTTTACGAATGCCACCGCAATGAACCAATATTTCATTTCGCGTAGTTAACCTTAAATTTGTTGACCAAATTAATTCTTTATTTGGCAATGTTGCTCTCAAATAATCGATTTTTCATGCGCTATATGCAAGAACGATAGATGCAAATATTGATATTGATTTTGAAAACAGTATAATTACATTCAGAAGACATCATTCATTTCATTTAAACACTTGAATTTTTTTCCTTAAATTTTTTGGGTCTGCTTAATAAAAAGATCCAAAGTCACAGTAAGATTAAAATATACAACTCGGTGGCGATTTCGACTTCGGTGGAAAAATGGTCGATTCGATTATATCGCGCGCCTATCCCGTAAAACATGCCGCGTTATTACGAACCCGTTCGTCCGTCCGTCCGTCCGTTCGTTCGTTCATTCGTTCGTTCGTTCGTTCGTCCGTTTGCTCGTCGTCGGCAACGAGATTCCCGCGCTTCTCCAGGGCCCCGGCTAAGGTTATGGTTTGCTCTAGGAGTGCATTAACCCCTGTCGGATCGCGAGAGCACACCGTGGAAGAAGTGCACAACCGTCGCGGGCGCGGGGTTAGTCGGCGGGGGGCGGCAGGCAGAGGCGGGAGGGAGGGAGGGATGGTATAGGAGAGGTGGCGAGGAAAGGCGAGGAGAACAGGAGGGCTTCGCAACAGCGTGCACCGGAGTTCTGGTCGTCGAGGCGAGTGCAATGCGAGCGCTTTTACGAAGTAAGGGACGCGGAGGGCGGGAGGGAACGAGAGGAGTAAGAAGGAGGAGGTGAAGAGGGACGACGACGGGGCGGCCGGACTTTCTCCAGAGAGCGAAAGTGAGAGGGCCCCCCATGAGCGTTCCCCTGGCCGTTCGCGATCTAGGAGGCAACCGCGAGAAGGGGGACGAGGAGGAGGAGAAGGAGGAGGAGGACCCGTGCTTTCACCGTGCCCCGGCGAGATGCACTTTTCCGCGACGTAGAAGCGAAGGAGGCTCGCGCGAGCCGGGTTTCGTGAGCGGAAAAGTATGATCCCGGGAGTAATTATTAGAGCGATAGAGGGGGGCCCCGCGAGCGAGCGACGCGGAAACGCGGTCTCTCGTGTGAGAGACGCGCGTCGCGTTGAATATAGGGATTTGCAGGCTTCTCTTCGTGGTAGATCTCCCCTCCGCTGGTCGTGCAGGGAAAAGGGAACGGCACGAAAATTAATGGTGACGCGAATTGCGCGAGATGCAATTACGGAAGAATAGGGGAGTAGCGCGACGCGACGCGGTCGACGTGTCGTTTCGACGCCGGCGATATGCGCGGCGCCGTGTCTGTAAACACTGATGGAAATGGATGAACCTTAAGTACACGCGAGGCGTCTTAGCTTAGCTTAATTAGTCGTCGAATTGAAGTCACGTCAAAATTCATTGGAAATCGAGGGAAGCAGCAGATCTTTATGTTGTTTATTTTTGTTAGATGTATAAAAAAATGTTTACTTCTTCAATCACTTTAAGATTGATATTTCATCAATTTTAGAGATTTCGACGGTTTTAAATAACGAATTCGGCATTTCGTCAGTTGTGGAAGAATCCACTGCGCGTCTGTCAAACCGTGGACAAGAAATACGGGGCAGCTGGTATCTATATGCTAATACCGATGTCACGACCATGAAACTACCAGCATCCTTCTCAGATTGGCCTTTAGTATCCGAGCGCGAGAGAAAGTGCGCCGTGCCTAGGACAAGCTCCGCACATTTAACATACAATCTATGCACACGTGTAGTCTATATATTCAAAACGCTAAAGAGAGTTCATTACCCCGAGTTTTATTGTGCTGAGCCTGCTCGTTCTATCGAGATTTATTGTATACACTAAGTAATTTTCTTCTCCGCGCTATGCCACAATGAAAAAAAAATACATACATTTATCGTCTCACAATGAAATAACGCTGTCACAATGAAAAAAAATACGTACATTTATCGTTCCACCGAATAATATATCCCAGTTAAAAAAGATTCAGAACATATTCAAGATTTACATGTTACACGCGAAAAAAATGTTTGCTTGGATTAACCAAATTTCGAGTGAAATATGAACGAGCCAGAAAATTTCAGTTCAACTTACCAGAATTATGTTCAAGTTAACCGGAAACCTTTTGTTAACTCGAACGGAATTCTGGTAGCTTCAGCTGGACTTTTTGGCTCGATCATATTTTACCAAAAATTTGATTGGTCCAACGAAACTTTTTCTTCCTGCAATCATCGATCTGATAATTCTGTTAACGATCAACGACTACTCAGATCAGACTTGGCGACAAAATATTCGGAAGAAATTGCCACGGTGTCTAGAGTCGTGTGTATAGAAATCGACTCGGTCGTGTCATTTCTGGGGAATAATCGATGGCTCGGTGCTGATTCGGGATTAATCGTCTACGTGGCGTTTCCGGACCGATTCGCGACGGCGTGCCGCTCCGGTACCGTAATCAGCGTCGAAACTTTCTTATTCCTCGCAACACGCATTCCGTCTCGTTCGCGGGAGGGAGAGAAAGAGACATTTACGAGGGCGACGAGTGCTGGAAGGGAAAAACCAGTCCCTCGTCGCGGAGTGTGAGTTAGTCACAACGGCGCGGCGCGATGCCGGACAATCGCGAATTAACTTTCTTCGCCGCGACTTCCTCGTCCGCGGCTCACGCGCCGCGGATTAGAGCTCAATCGGCTTTTACCTTACCTTACCTTACCTCGCTTCACCTCGCATCACCTCCTCACCTCCGTCGCTTCCATAACCGCTCGTCAGCGCAGCCGAAGGCCGCGCCAGAGATGTAGATTAACGTCTTCTTTTTTTTACCGCCCGTTCTATCCTTTCGTATTTTTCGTCCTCTCATGCGGAGTCCTTGCATCCGTCCGGCGAGAAAGTCCAGCCGCTACGACCTCCAAACGTTTCGATTCTTCGTATAATTTCAGGGGCGCATTTGCTTTGACGTAATGCGACAACGCGCAATATTCGTGTGTTCTGCGTGTCCTGCTGTCGAAAATCGATTTTGGAAGGGGAAGAAGGCGGTGTTGCAAATTGAATCACACTGCGCACTTTTTAGTGACTCAATATTAATAAGTCTGTTTCATTTCATTCAAAATATTTATTATACAAAAATATCGCGTTGTGAAAAATAATAATAGAACTAGTCGTGTTCTGCCGAAAATTCTGGTTATGTAAATCGCGACGATGCAATCGCGACGATGCAATCGCGTAATCAGGTGACGACGCTCGAGCTATATGTTTTCATATACAATTTCGGAATGATTATACACAGGATGCGTCACGACGAATCGAATTTCGCTATACAGTCTCGGAAGATCTCACGTGCGAATGTGTGTGAGAAGTAAAACTCCGTGGAAAAAATGCACAACAAGAAGGTATTAGAGAATTAACGACGAGAGAACTGACGACTGTATAAGCGCGAATTGCAGCATGTTGTGAACGGCCCTTAAGGCGATAGCACGCGTAAACCGCGCGCAATCAATTGATTTTGACGATTATAGCGACCTGTTCCCCCCTTAGTAGCATCTGCGGCACGTGTCTCTCCAAGGTCTCCATCTTTCCCTCGATCTTTTTCACCACCGCCTTAGGGACGTCGCTCTGTGCCGTCTCCACCTTGATCGCGTCAGCACCTGAATCAAAGATGCGAGTAGTTGCAATAGTTTTCCTAATAAACGTACATATACTCGCGCACCCATATTTTTCACTCGAACATTAACCAGCGGACGTAAAACAAGCGTTTTTTTAGTATTTTAACAACGCGAATGTGAAGTAATTCCGTTGAAGTTTACCGATTTTGCGACACCGACGAAAATCCCCCTTCATTTTGTGAAATCATCAGTGTCAAGATATTAGATGAGATATTAGAAAGGTCTTTATTATCCCTAAAACGGATTACTTTCGGGATAACCTGATAAAGCCTCTCGCTAATCTCGAATAACTTGATAACATTCGCAATTCATTACTGCGCGAGAGATGAACTTTTTAAAGGGCGTCATATTGGGATCGCGAGGTAACTTGGAACTTTTTAACGCGACGACAAGAGTTTTTCAGTACGTTACGCTAGGACTCTCTCGGTCTATGACTCGCGACGAACGAACAAACGAACGACGAACTGATAGGTACGTGTATCACACCCGAGGGCGAATAATCTCGATAAAACTTTGACGCTTTTTCCGTCACGGCGAAAACGCTCGATAGCGGGAGTTACCGGAAGTACGTTTGACAGCGTGAATAAACAACCGTAGGGTGAGGAGAGAAAAGTCGCCGATCGCGCGGGGGAGAGCTGAAGAAGAAGGTTGTTTATGTGCTAGCACGTGTCCGTACAACTGCGGAGGCCAAGAATACAAGGGGATGGGGGAGGGACGGTGGGGGATGGCAGAAAGGCAGCACGAGGAGCCAACAGGACACGTGTACACGGCCAGGCATCGATCCTGTGGGCTGTTCTTCAAGGTCGCTCGGCGGCCCTCCGCCCTCCCTCTCGGCCTCGTATCAACGACCTCGCGACCCCTCGCGATACGTCCCGAAGTACGTCAGTAGGCCAACTAACCCTGAACTCGGCGTACCGAAAGAGGAAGAGAGGTGGAGAAAGGTAGAGAAAGAGGAAGGGAGCAAGAGAGAGAGAGAGAAAGAGCGCCGCCCAGGGCGTCCCTTTTTACATCGCCATAAACGACGACGTAGAAAGCAGTTCTCTCTGTCCCTGCCACGTGTTTCTTGCGTTGCTTCGCAACGCCTCGCGTGGCTCCATTAACCTCTTCGAGGAGTTTTCGTGTAAATTGTAAATAAACAAGTGAATTAGGTCCCAGCAGGTATCGCGCGGCCTCCCCAGAGATCCCGCGGCACACAAGAAGCGTCACTGTGATTAATAACGAGATGAAGCTTTAATTGCAAAGTGATACAACAAATGAGAGCGTACTCCTGCAAATCCGCTGACTTTAATTTTCGTAACACTTTCCTCTCTTTCTTTTTCTTGTTTTTCAATGTGCAAGTCTTCCATAGCGTGAAAAGCTTAATAAGATTTTTTCTTACGGCATCCCGCTGCTGAGATAATAAATTGAAAATATAATATGTGCACGCGGTTCTCTTTCCTGGCGTGTTTGTAGATTCCGAACGAGTTTGTAAATTGTTATTTGAGGAGTAAGCGAATATATATTTTTAGAAATAATATTGTTTATACGCACGCGCGTTGTTGTTCCCGAGGAAGTTTATCTTTCACGTTGCCGGAAAAACAACGGGCGACTACTCGACTGATTAATCGCGCATGTTACCGATCGTTCGCGCGCGATAAGAGAGATCGATAATGATCGTATTTGAATCTGAATCGCGAAGACCCCCGTATCGAGTATGCGGCTCGAGACTTTCGCGTTTCCTGCTGACGTAATAATCAACGTATACACACATTGCACGCACGCACGAACGATCGACCGATCGAATCGCGGGGGGGCTCTTCCAAGACTCCGTGAACTTCAGAAGGCGAGACGCTCCTCGACGCACCTGTACACACACAGACAGACAGACAGACAGATAGCCATCGGTACGTCTGGCTAAAATCGCGGGATTATCGGCGACGTCAGTTGACGACGTGAGGTAAATCAACGCAGATGATCCACCGAAAAGGTCGCGATAAAATTCGCATGCGACATGTAACATCGAGGCTTACCAATCGCAAGAAGATCCTCCGCTTTAATTTTCGCGCAGGTATATGAGACCACTGAGAGAAATACGACGTATATTTTAGTATATTGTTTCCTCACCTGTTCAGATTTCTCCCCTAGCAAAAATACCGTGTTAATAATCTTTGACTTACGAATGAAAATTACGGGAAAATAGGATATTTTTGCGAAGACAGCAAAGATTTAATGAAATGTAAAATCATATTTTCGCCAGTTAACTGCCGGGACATATTCAAAATAAAAAATCGGGAATTCCCTGTCTTGCAATTTTGCGCGAGAAAATATCAGTAGTTTTATTGTGTGTTGACTACCTTCTCCCCTTCAGTTTGTCTCGCGTCACCTAAAGTTCGGCGGAAAACGATGAATAATATATATGCGAGATGTAAAACTTGCGGGTTCGTCGACCACGCCGCTCTCGCGTGTTCGACACGGCTGGCGCGGATGAATGAAAACGAGAGGCGAAGGTTGGAGGGCACGTGAACGAAGGAAGGAGGAAAGGAAGGACGACGTGCGAGTAACGTCAGGGAGGAAAATCGTGGTCGGAGGGGCCGAGGTGGATACGAACATGGGGGAAATGAGAGAGAGGGAAGGAGTAGGTCTTGGACGGAATAGAGACGACGACGACGACGATGACGACGACGACGAGTAGGAGGAAGAAGAGTGTGGGCGAGAAAGAGGTGCGGAGGAGGACACGAGCGGCGGCAGAAAGAGGTGGATAGAGGAGAGAAGAAATGAGCGAGGAAGAGCACACGTGAGGGGCCATACGGACAGACGGACAGAGAGACGAGCTCTCCTCGAACGCGTATCGAACGCGTTCGCGCGACCACCACTATACGTAGTCAAGGTCGGTCCTTGCTCCTGCCGCGAAGCGGCGACCTTAGTGGGATGTATTATCCCCCTTTCGCGCGATACGACGACCCTTCCTCTCTGCTCTTCCACGCTGCCTGCCTGCCTGCCTGCCTGCCTGCCTGCCTGCCTGCCTGCCTGTTTGCCGCCCTTCTTTCGCCGCGCGTTGTAAATAAGGACGAGCGAAGCGAGAGAGAAACCGCGCGTTCCCTCCCCGAGGCGAGTTCGTTAAACCCTATCGATTCATAGTGAGAGAGGGATGGGAACCCCGCGGATTAAAAGTGAATCAGTTTTTGCTCCGGTGACGAAGGCGTTTTTTCTCTTAACGATGATCGTGGGGCGCGGGTGCGAAAGAGTGGCGCCGATCCTCGGTCCGTTGGACCGGAGGAACGGAAACTTGAATCCCTCGCTTCCGCGATGCGGCGCCGAGTGTAGTTCTCTTCTTTCCAACCGCATACTTTCTCTCTACCTGCCTCCACGTTTGTTCCTTGTCTTCTCTTTCCTCTCTCACTCTTGATAACGGGAAGTTGATGTTAAAGGAGTTGCGCGACACGTGAGTGAGATACAACTATTACGTTACAACTATTGATCGTCACAGCGTAAGTCGCTTCTTCGCGTCGGAGATTATCGTCTTGCCGATAAAACTACAAGGGAGCCGCGTTATTAATGCCGCGCTCGATGATGCGTATGCTCATCGTCGCAATTATCCGCCACGAATCTGAACGCTGACCTTTCGATCGAAATTACGCACGACCGAGGCGATCAGTGACCGATAACGATGAATAATCCATTATCCCAACCACCTGGCGGAAAAAGTCGCCAGCTGACTCTCGCGGGACGAGCCACCGCGTAGCTCATCGCGGAAATTTCATTATGAGAAAAAACAGTGATGTCGCGGCCGTCGTCTCGGGAAGGCAAAGGACCCGCGCGAGTAGTAGAAGTCATTCATGGTCGGACACGGCGGAAACCCTTCTCGAATTTATGACCTGAGGGGCAAGTGCGACGCACGTGTCTCGCAGGTTTTCAATTGAACGCGGAAAATACACCGGTATTTCGAAGATGGATAAACCGACATTGTTTTGCGACTTTGATCTGCATCGATAGATTGAAATTTGCTGCAAGTGGAAGTACTCAAATTTTAATTTAGACTCGTATTAATAGTTGAAGCTTGTCTCATATGAGATACTGAAATTTTTCTTCAGACTAAGGCTTCTATTAATAGTCGTTACTAATTAATAGCCGACTCCTTTTGAAACTTGTCCTACGTGAAATACTTAGACCTGAATTTAGGATTAGATGAGAATTGTTTATCTAAATTATATAATATGTATGACGTTACATTTACAATCGCAGTTCAGCTGAAATATTCACGTTTAACTGTACGTTTTTAACTGTAAATTAAAATCTGAGTGTCTCACCTAATGGAAGTTTCAAGTAACGACTATTAGTATTGGACCTTAGACTCGTATTAATAGTTATTACTTGACACACTTTTCAAGTGAGATACTCAGATTTGAATTCAGAATTAGATGAGAATTTTTCATTTAATTCGTAATTACAGATATGAATGTTACATGTATCATAATTCAATTGAAAAATTTGGATCTAACTCTAAATAACAATATATCTTACATGAGATAAGTTTCAAATAGCAGCTACGAATACAGATCTTAAATTAAAGTTTTTTAGTTGAATTATAATATATGCGATATTTATATATCGCAAGGAACTCTGAATCCAAATCTGAGTGTCTCACTTGAGAGGAGTTTCAAGTAACGACTATTAATACGGGTCTTCGAGTTGAAAATACAAATGGAAATGTTACATCCGATCGAAAGTGACAGCTTCGATTGTAACTTGCGGCTGTGTAATTGTGCTAAAAATACTATAAGAACCGGCAGCATTGACATTAACGCGTAATTTTCGCAGATCTCTGAAGTTTAAGAAATTTAAACGATATTCGAGATATAACTATAGGTTACGAAGACGCGCCTTAACAAGAGCGATTATCGCTCGAGGCCGTGAGAAGCGTAAAACGCGAGCAGAAAGTGCATTGGCGAGTTTGAAGCCGCGATTTTACGTTGACGCGACCGTTATCGCCGATTATTACGCCCCTGACCCGATGACAAATTGTCTCCGTCATTACGTATCGACGATGCCAGGTGCCAGGCGGTATGGCGAAGAGCGAGCGAGCTTAAGAGACGAATTCGCGACTTTTAGGCGTCGAGCGTGTCATTGTGCGCGTGTCGTGCGCGCGCAAACTATACCGAGATCCGATAATCCGAAAATAACACCGTCTCAACGGGCGCTCGCTTATAATTGGAACACGCGCTTTCTCATACATGGGCGAAGCCAAAGCACGAAATTACGTGGTCCCTAAGTAACGTTCGTCGATCGGAATAATCATGAGCGGCGACGCTTCGATGCGCTTCCTCCTCCGCCTGGGGAGAAATTCTTCTGGGGAGGACGGCACGTGTGCGACGTCAAAGATTCCGCACGGGATTCCTTCGTCAAGGTGTCGTGTCAGCCTCGTGAGACGTGCGAATCGCGAGAGATGCGTATGAATTTTTCATCTCAGGGCCGGCCGTGTCGCGCTCGCGATCTGAATTATCGTGGCGTCGCAAATGTCAGAGGTTACCGAGCTCTCTTTCTCTCTCTCTTAAGGCATTTTTTTTTCTTTTGTTTTTGTATTGATCGACTCACGATTAGCATCTCGACGATCTCCTGACGCGGCACATTGTGTCATTGGGAGAGAGCAAAAACTTGAACACGCATAAGCAGGCGAGGATAATTGACCAGCCGACTCCTTTTGATTGCCGCCTCACTCGAGTCCAGCACTTATCGTCTGTACGTGTTGCAGAATACCATTGTGCATCTACATATTTATGCAGTGTGAGCGATTATCACGATGCCGGGGATTTATGATCGATGACAAACAAAACCTCTTGCGAATTTTATCGGTGCAAACCGTAAGTTGGACTTAAATTTGGAGAATTTCATTCACGGCTCGCTTTACTCACTCTATTATTCTCCAAAATTCGAGGAGTTTCCTATCAGATGTATAGAGAGGCGCGCTGTCCGGCCTCTTTAGCTCAGAAGTTGCATGTTAAAAGACAATAATTTGTCTTAGCCACGGAATCGAGTAACTCGAGCGTGTAGTCGAATTAGGTTACAACGTAATCCGCGCTTTTCCACATAGTTTTGATATGTATGGTTGATTCCGTAGCATACTTTGTTTTTCATCCTTAATGTTCCTATAATCATGAGGTTAAATGACGGAAACTACATAGCGTTGCACTCTGCGCGTCATTGATGCGAGACGTAACGAGATTATTACAAGTGATCTCTCTCGCGAAGCGAACACGGCACTTGTCGCGTCAAGCTGTAATAATCAATGAAATAACAAGCGATTAAATGCGAAATTGAAGAAGACAAAAAAAAAATTGCGTGTTACGCGGGTATCGCGGGAGCGCAACAATAGCGATAATTATGATAGTAATAATTAAATTATAAAAATTAATCCTCGCCTTAAACTTTCGTCGAAGTGAAGTCCGCTTAAAATTAAAACCGAAGACTGAGGTCTTTATTAATGGTCGCTACTTGTTTTACGAGAAATTCTCAGATCTGAATTTACAGTTAGATTTTTAAAACAAATTTCAGGTGACAATACAGATCTGAGAACTCGTTGCTCATTTGTGGTTCAATCAGGCCCCGAGCAGTTTTGTAAGTCACTCGGCACCTGGCGAATTGTCGAGTGTTTCTATTTTTATAAAAAAAAAAAAAAAAAAGAAAAAAATCACTCTTTAGTACGGTCAGTCAAGGAGTAAACGTTCCGCATTATAATTACGGACATTTGATGGCACGTAATGCTCGAAACTTAATGGCGGGGTGATCATACCGAGGGCGGGCGCTTTCCTCTTGACTTTGCGACTCCAGACCTCGTAGCAGTCTTCCAACGCGAGGTTCCAATGCTTGTCGAAGGCGGCCACGAATGCCTCCACATGTCCCCTTATGTCGCGCGCGTTCCTGGTGTAGACCTTCGGCACAAAGAACGCTCGATTATTCCTTTTAGATCGCGACGAGTCGCCGTGTTACGCGGCGACTTGCCTCTTCCAGGTAAAACCGCGCTAGCCTGGAACACAGAAAGACAGAGAGAAGGGAGAGAGAGAGAGAGAAAGAGAGAGAGAGAAACGCGCATTCTCTCTTCACTTTCGATGATCGTCCGGAGCTGAGTGCGAAGCGCAAGAATGGCGAATCGAGCGTGTGACGAATTGTTCGAATAAAAGTGAGGTGGACGCTTTTTGTCAACAGACAGCGGAAACGCGAAGGTGTTCACGCGATTTTGCCTGACACGACTCGTTCGCCATTCTTCTCTCCGATCCGAGTCGAATACGCGCTATCGTCCGAATTAATGCACAAAACTCACGAATAGCGCGTTGCGCACATTACAACGACCATTACATAATTTTGTAAAAGAGTCTAGTCGATCAAGCTGTTGTATTATTTTGTACCGTCGTAAATATTTATATTCACTGGAGTATATTATGCGAGTTATCGTAGAGTATGCAAATCGGGTGGCTTTTGCTTCCTCCACATAGCACTTATTCATCGACCGGGTGTATATTATAGATTAATTATACAACCGTAATCCAGTTGCGAATCTAATTAGTGTCGCTGTTAGTCGTTTGTGATCAAACATAGAATTGTTATTAAATTGACAGAACCGAATCATTCCGTCAGATTCGTCGAAGTTATCGGCGTTTTAACCCAGAAATTTGAAGTTCGACCTTCTTCTGTTTGTTTTTTCTTTTGGGCTAAATCGAGACTTGGGCCTGTATTAGTCATTAAAACTTGTCTCAAGTGAGTCATTTGAATTCAAAATTAAATGAGTTTTCGTATTGAATTACAATCAGAGATATAAATGTCACATATATCGCATAATTAAACTGAAAAACTTGGATTCAATTCTGAATGTCTCACATAAAACAAGTTTCAGGCGACAACTGTTAATACGAGCTTTAGAATCGTGCTAATAGTTGTTGAAACTTGTTTCATATGAGGTAAGACTTAGATTTTAATTTATGGCTAATTTATGTGAACGTTGAATCACAATTGCAAATATAATGTCGTATATATTATGTAATTCGAGTAAACAACTGAAATCTAACTCTAAATCCATATCTAAGTATCTCACGTGGTATAAGTTTCAAGTAATAACTATTTAGATCTGTGTTGACAGTTATTACTTGAAATTCGTCTCAAGGGAGACACTCATATTCCAAGTCAGAGTTAGATGAGAGTTTTTGATGGGAGTTTGTTGAACTGCACGATTACAGGTATAAATATCACACACATTATAACTCGACTGGAGAACTCGGACTGAAAATGAAAATCGTCTCGCGCGAGACAAATTTCAGGTGATAACTATTGATATGGGCCTTACACGTGAAGGAGCCGACTAACGGGACACCGAATTAGAGAACCGCGATGCATTCGCCTCGTCGGAGAAAGCATCGCGGTGAGCGTTGCGGGCCCGGCATAGCACTTCGAAGAGTAATTGCATTAATGACAGCGCGCACGGGCGGGTTGGGATGAGGGCTCGCGGCACGCGAGAAAACTCGTTGTTTGTCGCATAGATACGGCCGCGGGAGACAAGATAGCGGCCTGATACGCGGAAGTGTGCAGGCCGATGAGGCAAGGCCCCTTTCAATGCCTTTCGCGCGGCGCGCGAACACACATACATACACACGCGCGCGTCTGTGCACACACGCCGGCTTAGACGCAATGAAAACTAATTGCTAGCCTCGGACTACTCGTGTGTGTCAGCGCCATTGAGCGCCGACGACGTCCGCGAATTAGCTAGAATCGATTCTGAGGAGTACTCAAGACCGCCGCCGCCGCTGACGATGACGACGACGACGACGATGATGACGATGAGAGGAATCCGTTCCTTGTTGTTCCATGGCGCGACAGAGCTCGCGCATTAACCCTTCCGCGTGTTCTTATATTCTTACGAATGATAAACGAGCTGATGGAGTTATTTCTCGCCCGCTTTTTCGAATCAGCCCGAAACAGCTCTCTCTCTCTTTCTTTCTCTCTCTCTCTCTCTCTCTCTCTCTCTCTCTCTCTCTCTTACGATCAATGATTTTTATTGATCTCTATTAACTTTCGCTAACGTATAGGGATATCCTCATCATCGGGTTTTGAGCGATCAAGAAGGAAAAGATGTGGAAACGCGACGAAATACGACTGCGAAACAGGCTTGGTGAAAATTGCATAATTGCATAATCAATATTTTCTTTCGAGAGAAATTTATTAATATTATCGTCGCGAGTCATTGTTATTGTTTATGCTTCGACGCGTGGAATTTGCCGGATCGCGCGAATTCAAGGATTTCGTCGTGATCAGAGCATGAGAGGCCGTTGCGCCGCGCGGCAATGAGATATCGAGGGCAATTCGGTGGAAACCTTTGGTCGAGGCGAGAAGCGAATTTAATTAGACCGGAAAACTTCGGAAGTGCTCGAGGCTACAATTCGATCGGGTCGTCCGGTTTACGCGATTCCGCTTAACTTGCGATCTATTTCCCAAGGTACAGACGGGTCTATTTTATGTCACGTACGTACGTTGTGAGAGAAAACCAAATGCAAATGCAATTCCCTTTCCTGTCAGTTTTCGCGATGTCATGAGAATATTAATATGAGAATATCGTATCCCGGGATTATAGTATCTATACAATCGAACAATTTATCACTCATGAGAATCTAAGGGTGACTTGCAGAAGATAAAAAAATCGTTTTGCATTCGTATTTTCCAAACGGCTGCAAACCAAATGTGCTCTGAGCACGCACCGAAACGTCACCTTGCACGTGTGTATTTTTCTTTTTTCTTTTAGTGTTTAACGTGCTTCTAATTTTCATGTTGATATTCAGTTATTTAACATACTCTCTTCGCGCTTGTGTGTTCTTACATGTCGCGTGTTCTCTCATTTAAAGTCCTCGGAAAAAAAAAATCTCAAATCTTTTCCAAGAAGTCCCTCAATTATCCAGTCAGCACGATCACGAACTTCCGTCCTCTCGATATATCTCGGTCTATTTGATTCGAGATGACTTGCTGATAATTAGTGAGAAAAAGTCGCGCGCTTTCCCCGACTATTTGATCGGCGAAGGCCGATCGATCTATTCTATCGAGATAAAATTTTCTTTCCGGATGCGTTCGAAGGTCGCGAGAGATTAGGATCTGCCGGCGAGGACGGCGACTCACTCGGAAGGCAGGAGACGAGCCTTGAAGAAGCGACGTTGTCGCCGCCGCCGCCGCTGCCGCCGACAACGACGATGAAAGTTAACAAACGCAATTAGTTTAAGTTCGGTTTCGGTGCGCGGAAGGAGGCTAATCAGAAACTCCATTCTCCTCGTTGAGATATATATCCAACCGACGCGCGTAGAAGAGCGCTTCCGCAGGAAGCCCAATTAAATCAATTTGACTTTTATTTTCCATTACGGCGTCTCATTGTCCTATTATTAGCCGGCCTTAAGCTGGCGCGAGGCGGCAATCATTAGGCGCGCAGCACCGCGAGAAATCATCGGGCGCGATTAGATAAGTATGATGATTTATCAGCGTGATGCGCTCGCAGCACCGCCACGATCCTTACAACTTTCCATGCGACGACGCGTGCTTGCTTCCGGATTAATTGTGCGTTACAATGCGTCGCGCGGTCTCGCGAAGATACTGAATTTGATTCCGGATAACACGGAAGTATTATTATTGTCTATCGTCGATTCGGATCATCAAATTTGGGAGAACTCGCCAGTCGCTATTCATATAAGTTCGTGACACCTGACAAAATTCCGCGATCTAGTTGCCGAAAAGCTTTTCTCATCTAGCCATTCTTGTTTTTGTCTTTAAATACGAATATTTGAACTTTCGACATGGAATATACACTAAGAAAAAAAAATATCGGAGAAATAAAGAATATTTATATTCACATACCTTGGCTTTTCACGAGGACAATTGTTTGTTTTATTTAAATAAAAATATTCGAATTTAAATAAATATATTATTAGGAGCCATTAAGTATTTTTTATTTTTAGATACTTTTTTCTCAGTGTACGTGTATATTCAATACGCATATATATTTTTTTATGTTAGAAGTTTAAATATTTCCATTTAAAGACCAAAATAAGATTGTCCAGAATTAGGTACTTTTACTTTCACAAGCGCGAAGTTTCGACTTGGGGGAGTGCTTCTGTGTTGATTTTCGCGTGAGTTTTGTTGAGGGAAATACTTGAGAAATATCACGTTTTGAATTCTGTTCCTCGGAGTGCCTGTCGAAGGGAGAGGCGCTTCTCGAGGACAGGCGACGCCGCGACCCTTTTCGGACGCGATTTCGTCCCTCCTGCGGATCGTTTCTCGCGCGACGACGGCACGTCAGGGACGTAGTAGCGTAGGCAGAGGTGGCGAAGAACGAACGCCACACTGGGTGGTCGTCATGGTTACGAGTGTTGACCCGAGCGCGTTCTTCCTTCCTCCCTAGTCTCGCGGCTCTAGGCGAAGGGAGGAGGGCTCGCCGCCGCCCTCCGGACGCCTCCGAAGGGCTCGCGCACGTGTCACTCGGCCGCGAAAGTGTGTCAGCCGCGTGTGCGTGCACGCACAATGCCAGAGGTCGGGGAGCGGGAGGGGGAGAGGAGGGGGACGTAGGGGAAAACGGCGGGAGCGTGGGCGGACGAAGTGCCGTTTTAAGAACTGCTTCTACGTCGTTGGCAAAGGCGGCGTATGGGTTTAGGGAGGAGTTATCCCTCGTCGAAAAATTGCAACGGAAGTCATCCACCTCGAAAGTCAGTGTCCGATCGTATCGTGAACGTGTATCTTTCGTAGGAAGCGCAAAAAAGAAAAATAAAAACAGCCGCAAGGAAATAGGAAACGCCGGTTTCTAAAGCGACTCTTTAAAAATACGTAATTAAATTAATTGCTATTAATTAGTGGATCGCCGCGCAAACTTTCACAGTTCCTCCGCCAAACGAAGTGACGCATTGCATAGTATCTCGCTATACTTTCTAACAAATATAATAATAAGAGAGATTCGTCTCCTCTTCTCTTGTGAAGGTCTCATATGATATTGAGGGCTTTTTATAATCGTGAGTTTAGAATCGCCTCTCATTGAGAGGTAATTATATATATATATATATATATATATATATATATATATATATATATATATATATATATATATATA